CTTCAGTTTTTCTTTTGGTTCCTTTCTTTGGAAGTCTGCAATCAACAAGGTAATGTCCATTCTTTCCACAATTCTAACACTCAATATTACTGAGATCTGTGGAATTCCTGAAATTTTGAGTTTGTGTCCTTCCATTCCTTGACTTGGATATGCCTTTGTTTCTATTACCGTTGCCATTCTTCTTATTTGAACAATTGCATCTGCTTTCAACATTCAATACTGAACCACTGGTGGAAACCCCTGCTGTTTGCTTTTTGATTTCTTCAATCAAAATCATGCTCACAACTTCTTCAAACTTTAACTTGGTCTTCCCTGCAAAGCTACTGATTGCTGTAACTGTGCCACTCCAACTCTCGGGTAACTGTCTTAGAATTAAAAGTGCTCGGACCTCGTCTTAAAAGTCAATATCAATAGACTCTAATTGCCCAACTATCTTGTTGAATGCATTTAGATGTTCGTTGAACTTACCACCTTCGACCATCTTCATGTTGAACAACTTCTTGATCAAGTGCACCTTGTTCATTGTAGAAGGGTGTTCGTACATACTAGAACGAGCTACCATGAGAGACTTCATCGTCTTCTCATTTTTGATGTTGAAGGCGACTGATTTTGATAACATCAATCTGACGATACCAAAAGCCTTCTTATCAAGTAATTCCTATTCTGCATCTTTTTTATCCTCTGGCTTTTCTCTCAAAGGTTGATACAGATTTTTCTGAAACAAAAGGTCTTCTATTTGCATCTTCTAGAAACCAAAGTTTGTGCCATCGAACTTCTCGATCATGGATGTGGATGTCTTATCTTTTGATGCCATTACTCCCACTAGAACGGATAGATTTGATTCAAAGACTTTCGGAATTTCGTCTAATACCTTATGTGCCCTAGGTTTTCAACCAAAAGCTCTGATACCACTTGTTAGAGTTGCTCTGCACAATAAACCGGATTTGATACTAGTTGTTGTAGCGGAAATGCAAAATAAACAACGCTGTTCAAGGAATAAACAAGCAATAACGAAGAATAAAAAAAATCACACAAGAACACAAGATATGCATGGTTCACCAAAATCTTAGGGTTATGTCCATGGAGCACATCAAACAAATTCACTATGAAGAAAATAAAGAATTATAATTGAGAATTTTCTCTCAATCCCACTCAATTGCTCTCTTTTGTATTAGCACAAATTTATCCCTAACTCTTACACACTCTAAAATCTGATTAGAGTTGATATTGATAGAGTCCCAAACTTGTCCTACAAGAACTTGCCTTTTATAGAATCCAAAACCAATAAGGAAGTTAAATCAGATCAGGAAACTGAATTTTCCTTAAACCAATAAGGAAGTTAAATCAGATCAAGAAACTGAATTTTCTCTTAACTTCAACAGTCTTGAAGTTTCCATTTAATTAAATTTTCCTAAAAAATCAATTACCTAATCAGACTCCAGAAAAAACACAACAAGGTTGTCCTGCCCCTTCCCGTTTATAATGATAAATTATAATTTTGTACTTATATTTTATTTTATATTCAATAGTATTAGGTATATATTAAGCAAATCCTAGTTTATTCTATTTCAATTACTAAATATTTTTTTTTGTATTATTCTTATCTGAGAAACTTCTTTTTTTTCTTAGTTGGTACTCACACACGTATTCTTCCATGAAAGTTTGAACCCTTGACCTCCTTTTGGGAAGTAAGAGCCCAAAACCGTTGGCCACTAGTTCATCATTGTATTATTTTGATACTTCAACAGTAATATTAAGTCTCAAGTTTCAATTGAAAAGTTGAATATTATTTTTATCCACATAAGTCAAAAATAATTATTACAATAATTAAAATTTTGTTTCATTATTTGTTTTCGTTAGATTCATAATATAATGACCAAAATACTCTACAAAATTCATTCCTGCCATGTTTAATAAACGGTTTTGGATGGGGATGTGGGTAGCTATGCTAAACGGCGATGGAGATGTGATGTCGTTCCCTGTCCCAAACTGCCCCGTTGCCATCCCTAATTGAATCAATTTAAAACCTATAATGAAATGAATTTTAAATTAAAATCTCTAAATTACCCCACTCAATGTTAAATAAATTAAATAAATAAACAAGATTCTTTTATAATATTTTTAAAAGAAATGGCGGCAATAGTGGATGGTGGCGACAATGGTGGTAGTGAAAGGTGGCAGTGGTGTAGGTAGTTGCGGTGGAAGGTAGCGGTGGTGGAAAGTTACAATGGTGTAGGTGCTGGTGGTAGAAGGCAGTGGAGGTGGCGAATGTGGTGATGGTGGCGGTATTGTAGGTAAAGGGTGGCGGTAACGGTGAAGGTGGTGGCGACAACGATAGTTGCTGTGGCAATGACAATGGTGGAGGTGGCGATGGAAGGCAATAATGATAGTGGTGGTGAAAGGAAGTGGTGTTGGTGGTGTTTTTTTGGATTTGGAACATAAGAATTTATTTGGAACTTGAGTGTGTATTTTTTTTTATTTTTTATTTTTTAAATTACTTCTATAGGTTTGGTTGTTGAATTGAATGGATTTTTATTCCAAAAAAAATAGTTATTATCACTTTAAATTTTATACCAAACAAATGAATTGTTGAAATGAACATTCCATATTATTTCATTTTTGCGTACCAAACTAAACATTATATAATTGGGCCGTTAAAAGAATTAAATATGCAAGTCAATGTGGATAATAATAATTCCTTACCGCTCATGGAAATTGAGCATAGAGGAGCTTATTTGCAATATTTGGTTTAGGAACGGAGTTGTTATAATTTGTTAAATTTTAGACTACAATTGCAATAATACTGTGATTATTTTTTAGAATTAATTGAAACATTAATTGGGTAGTTCAAACATCTTAAATCAAACTAGAGTTATAATTGAAAGTCCATGAGATCAACCAATTTGTAGAAATAGTGTCAAAAGTTATATCTCTATCCAATCCACCTTTCTCATGACTATCACAATCGGCCCTCACGACTGTATTGTTAATTCTTGAGCTCCGACCTCTAATTTTATACAATTTATATATTTGTATGAGATAATAAATGTATCATGCAGGATGTTTAATTTTTAAAAAGACAATACTTACCTATTTATTCGTGAGTAGGTGATCTCTACTAACTTGATGTAGTTTAATCACAAATGCACACACAGTCTCTTATTTCAAAATCAAGAAATTAAAAAATAAAGAAAACAATTTTTTTGGGAATAAATTCAATTAGCCTCTTTGTTTTGTCTTATTTATTACTTTTTTGATTTTGTAATTACAGTAAATGTGTGAATTTGTTATTAGACTATATCAACAATTAGTAGAGATCACTTACTCACTTGTAAGTAGACAATTATTGTTCATTTAAAAAAATAAAATACCACTAAATTACTTTAACGGGAAAAAAATAATGCTAAACTAATTAGTTGGCTATTATTGAATTGATATATGACAACACTTTGTGGAAAATGGTTTAGTTAGGTCATGGGTTATTCAATTGCATTTGAATGATTTGGATTTGTATTGGTTAGATTTGGTTGTGAATAATGGATTGTTAAGCAAGGTTATTGTTGTCATTTTCTTGGTAAGCATTGGATTAGGTTAGTGGGGTACATTGTTGCCCTCCAGCCTGCCATTAGTTGGTATGGTGGTAATGGCTGGATGCAGCATAACATGGTATACAATTATTTATGGAGAAGAATATATTGTCTCAATGCTTTATTCGACTAAATAAATTGAAACATTTGACTTCGCACCCAACACAAAAAATTTGCAAGTGATACGCATAAATATATTATGATTTTATTTATTAAAATAAAATTATATAAAATTATGATTTTATATAATTATATACCATGTAGTTATTATACTAATTATTTATATTTTCAATCATATCCTAATATTGCTTCATTTTTGTGTTAGGTGCCCAATTGCAAAGGAAGTGTGAAAATTATGCTAATTAAGCCTTGACATCTCAATTGAGTTTAATTCCTTTTAAATTTTATGATTATGTAAGAAAAATATTTCAAAATTAACTCAAACTCATTATGTCAAATTATTTTTGGCTTTGACATTTCCATATCTTTTATGTTATTTATTGAACATTCATATAACATATATAATATTCATTTCGATCTAAAATAGATGGGCACTTCGTGAACTGTGATTCACTTGGGCACTTCGTGAATTGTGACTCACCATTGTGCCCAAGTACGTCATAGTTCCCCGAAGTGTCCATCTATTTTGAGACAGAAGGAGTAGAATTTATAACAATTGTAAAAATAAAACTCTCATTGAATGTGCATGTACTTCTAAAGTCTAATATATATTGGAAAATTTCAGTTTTTTGTAAATTATTGAGTAAAAAAATCACACTAAGAAAAAAAAAAAAAACTAAAGAAAAAAAAGTGACTATATTTCGTGGAAGACTTTGCTATTCAGGCCGAATAGCCTAGCCATGGTTTGTTCGGCCCAACACTTAGACTAGACTCATCTGCCCAACCATCATATTGCTTTCCCCAAATAGTGAATCCAAAAAATTGTGACATTGGCCAAACATCATGAATTTATGGATGCAAATTTTCCCTATTGAAATATCTTTTTCGTTATATTATGAATTTGTGGTTAATTTTATCTCCTTCTGAATTTTGTCCCATCAAATCCAAATTAGCTTATTTTTGTAACAAAAGTTCAGTAATTCTAAACATTGATCAAAAGTTTGGGCCCTGCATGAATTTAACCGGGACTGGGCCAATATGGCCCAACCCAACACCTAGGTGAAATGGGACACATCTAATGTAGTGGGTCCCAAAACACTGATGTGGCATCCTGTGAATCCTCTAGACCGTGATAAACATAAACATCTCCACACAGAGTACCAATTCCCAAAAGTGAGAACAGAAAATCGCGTCACACCTTATCACAGCCCCCACCACATGTGAAAAGCCTTCAAATCCTCTATCATGTAAATAAAGCGCCTCTCTCTCTCTCTCTCTCAAACTTTCCCTCCAAAACTAAAAGCTCTCAAAAACCCGTCTCCTCCCTCCAAAATTTAAAAACTCAAAAATCCAAACTCACACGCCCATATTGATGTTTATATATACCAGAGATGAAGTCTATGATCTCAACGTTCTCTTCTCAACTCTCCACACAATTCCCAATTTTCATCAGATCTTCATCAATCCCAAAGGACCCAAACTCCGATTTTCTCTCTCTAAATCGTTCCATGTCTTCCTCACTCAAATACCCGGTTTCTCTGAGCTTGGTTGACGGCGGTGGTGACCGGATGGGACCGTTACGCCTTCCTTCCGGCGAGATTCATGTTATTGTTGGACCAATGTTTGCTGGAAAGACTACGGCTCTTGTTTGTCGAATCAAATCCGAGTCCAACAGTGGCAGGTTTTGAATTTTTGTACTTTAATTATTTGACTCAATTTGATCTTGAAATTCGTTGAATTGGTGTTTTATAGATTGATTTGTTAAGTCTAAAACTAATTGTAACTTTTTAATTGGAATTAAAGTTTGAATATTTGAACTTTTATTTGGTAAAATTAGAGTTTAGTTCAGATGTTCAGATCAGTCTAATTATTCGATTCAATTTCTATCTTTATTTATTTATTTATTTTGTACTTCGATCTGGTTAAATTTAGAGTTTAGTTCAGATGTTCAGATCAGTCTAATTATTTGATTCAATTTGAACTTGAGATTTGTTGAATTGGGGTTTTATTGCTTGATTTGTTAAGTCTAAAACTAATTGTAACTTTATAATTAAATTAAAGTTTTGATACATGGTTTTAAATTTTAATTGGATACATAAAAACTTGGACTTATCTATTTACTTTTTTTAAAAAAATATTTGTCATGTCAACTGTATTATATGTAGAAATATAGCGATGATAAAGTCGAGCAAGGATACAAGATATGCTGTTGATTCGGTTGTGACACATGATGGGACAAATTTCCCCTGTTGGGCCTTGCCAAATCTTTTGTCATTTAGAGAGAAAATTGGAGCTGAAGCTTATGATAAGGTATTTTAAAAGTTTGTTTTAATTTATGTTATTTTCACTTCTTGTGGCATAGACTATGATCATTGTTGAAGTCAAACTATGTGCACAGCGGTTTTTTTTTCATGGCTTTGATGTTTATGGTTAAGGAATAACTTTGGATCTCATTTGTAGCGGTCACTTTGAAATGGTTGGTGATAGTGTAAACAATGTTTGAGTTAGATATTCAATTGGGTTCAACCATTGATTACTGAATTAAGTGAGAGTGTGATCCAAGTCACACAATCCTTCTAAAGGGTTCGCCAAATTGGTGTTCTGAGAACGAATCTTTTTCCAATTTGTGAATTCAATGTTGTCAACCCATGAATTGAATCATTGAATTCATAATGGTTTTTTATTCTTTAAATGATAGAGAACCATTAATGATATTTAATATAGCCTTATAGGCAACAATGAACCAAAATGTATTACGTAGTAATATAAAATCAAAATTGTTAAAAAGGGGCAGAACTAAAATGAATTTACAAAACTAAGAAAAAAAAAAAAAAATTACAATGTTAAGAAAGGATAGCAAATCCTTGTCATATTGTAGCTGATTCATATGGATCATTCTTTATTTATGTTATTTACTTGATAAATGTTCTAATTATAGGATTAAGTTCTTAAATAATATATTTGGCTAAAAGTATCAAGAGTGTGTGTTCCCAAATTTTAAATTTTGTTGCTTTCTCGCTATCACTTCATGTGACTTAAGAGTCTGATGCAACATTGCGAAGCAATCAGATAATAGTCAGTGGATGCAATGAGTGAGATTTTATTTTGTCTATTGTTTTGTGTGGTGTTGACCAGAAAGTTTCAGTGGGTGTCCAACATGTTTGAAGAATTAATTCTGTTGTACTAATGAAAGTTCCATTGAATGTCCTTGAAAGAACTAGAATGCAGCTTTAATGCATATTGAAGAATTTTGTAGAGTCCTATTAGGACCTTTGCACAGCACTTGTAGGGAAAAAGTGAATACATCAATAGCAGGACAAGCAAAGCATTTGCATCCGTAACCTCAGTTTTAAACACTAGTAGCATTGGATAGGTGTGAGGCCTTTAATAAAGTAGGTAGTATGCTTCATTTGATTTATGAAAAATCATATTGATTAATTTGGAGGAGATATTCAAAGAATTCAACAATTTTTTACTGTTTAGAAATTTTTTTTTTCAATTTTTTGGTTGAAGTGATGCTGTTAATGGTTAACACAAAGGCAGTATATGTTCTTAATTTGGTGGTCACTATGCTTTCCACTGTCTTCTTATTGGTGGTACATGTTGACAGTTGGATGTGATTGGTATTGATGAAGCTCAATTCTTTGATGACCTCTATGATTTCTGCTGCAATGCTGCTGATCATGATGGAAAAACTATAATAGTTGCTGGTTTAGATGGTGACTACTTGAGGTAAACCTAAAATGATAATTCTCATTTGTTTTCCCTATGAAAAATTTTATGCTAGTTTTATCAAATGTGTGTGTGTTTCCACCCCTATATCAACAACCTTAATGTTTCTTGTCTTTCATTCCTTAGCTACCATTACTACGCTTTTTATGCGAAATCAAAATGTTTATTGCAGAAGGAGCTTTGGTTCTGTGCTTGACATAATACCCCTAGCTGATTCCATAACCAAGTTAACAGCTCGATGTGAGCTTTGTGGCAAAAGGGCCTTTTTCACTTTGAGGAAGACGGATGAAACAAAGACGGAACTTATTGGTGGTGCTGATGTCTATAAGCCTGTTTGCCGGCAGCACTATGTCAAAGGACAGGCTGTTATTGAAGCAGCAAGGGTTGTCCTGGAGTCTTGTAAAGATAAGAGTGATTCATGCCTTGAGAAAGTAGGAGTTGTTTAGTTAATATAGCTGGCTTCTTCAAATTCTAATATGTTTTTAAGGGCTTTCAACTTATTTAAATCAGTTTGTTTGATTAACATGTTGAATTTGGGTGTTCCAAGCTGCTTTTATTGTACTCCACACCGTCTTGTTATATGTATATATAAGTTTATTGCTTGAGAATTTTTTAGTTCTTGGTCCTCTAGCACTTTGTGGTGAATATATATTCACTATAAACATGTGAATTCATTGATCACAAGTTTCCTAATATTTGATCATACATGGAGATTGAAGAGTGAAGACATATGAGGGGGATTTGAGATAAATCTTTTTGGGGTCTGAATTAGGTAATTTATTTTATGAATTTTACTCCATTGTGAAATGCTGTTGTCAGAATAATTAGATATTCAAAAATTATGCCTGGATTTTATTATGTAAAATTACAGATATGGGGGTTTTAGATCCATATTTACAGTGATGTGGAGTCAAAAAAATATATATGTTTTTACAAAAATGAAGTTTTGAAAAATATATAGAGTGGTGGAAAAATCTGTTCATAAAATTTCTCTTCTCGTCTTAGTCTTTTCCTTTTGGATTGGTGTACAAGTTTATTCAAAAAATATGCGCCATTGTGTATCCTTTTTAGTTACCATGATTTTGTTTCTTTTTTTTAATAAACGGTATTGGGGTTTTTAGAGCATCCCATAATTTGTTTCACATGCGCGAGCTAATTATTGAAAAGTTCCTTGGGGCTGACCTCGAGAGGATTGGAACTTCGTACATTGGTTACACCAGTGCATAATTTAGCGATTTCGACTAAAAAAAAAGGGAAAATCACCGAGTCTGCTGACTGCTTGCTACAGAAGGCCAAAAAGTATGCCAGCTTGTGGGAACACAGTAATTTTAGGGCCAAACTTGTCTTTGAATACATAATCATTTGTTAAAACCAAACCAGCTTACAATATTCACAGAGCAATTGAGAATAGGCCATTTCATTTGCATTGAGCCCACAAGGGCAGATAACCAAACAACTGTGAACGTATAATTTGTTACAAGTTCTCTTAAGCAGAATCCAATGGTTCCTTCAGCAACATTTCTGTTTTGAGTTGAGAACACATCATCCAATAAGGTCACTTTCGTCATAGTCAACCTCCGAAAGGAAAGGGTCCTTAAGAAGATCAGAGGCCGAGGGTCTTGCCCTTGGCTGGCCGATACACCTCTCTATGAAGGCCTTAAATTCTGGATCACTCACTCTGTTCATGGCTTGAGGTTTCACCCCGGTTGTCACCTTCTTGTATATCTTGGCAATACTGTCACACTCACGGTATGGTATCTCCATTGTCGCCATTTCAAGCAAGCACATTCCGAAAGAGTATATGTCCACCAATTCCGTGTAGTCCTCCTCATACAGCTCTGGCGCCATATACTCCGGTGTCCCAAGTAATGAATGTGCTGCATGGCTCTTCCCCACTATTGTTGCTAACCCTAGATCACCAATCTTAACCTATTCAAATAAACCAAAATCAAGAGTTGAGAAAAAAAAAAAAAAAAAAAAGCACGAGAGAAATATATGTATATATTCTATTTTCCTTAGCTCTCTTAGGGCCTTACGCTCCATTATTACAATGTATATTTCATTTTTGAAGCTTGAAAAGAAAATTGTCTTTTGGTTAACTTTGGTGCACTATCTTGTTAGGACAACAATTTCCTTGGCTCTAGAAAATATATATTCTTGATCTTAATTGTATTCATCCTTCGATTTCAGTTCTTCAATACCTAAAAATGTATAAGCTTAGCTGAAGTGAAAATCGAATAAGTTGCTTAGTGGTCAGATTATCAAGAAATAGACAATAAAATAGGAAACAGAAACAATATATGCTCAATATATATTGTATCTTTAACCACTAGTTTTACTAGTAAAAAGAGAGATCATTTGTCAAAATTAAACAATAATATCTAAAAAAAAATTCAATGAAAAATAGATACCTTGCCATGGTTCCCATTGATGAATATGTTAGTGCAATTCAGATCTCTATGAATGATGCAAGGATCATGTGTGTGGAGATACTCCAAGCCCTTGAGAATCTGTCTTGACCATTTCTTCAAGGCCTTCATGGAGACATGGCGATGTTTGTTCCTATAATCCCTCAAAGTGCCGGAGTTGCACGCCTCAGTGATGAAATTCAAGGTGGTGTGCTCTCTGTCCACCCAATAACTGTAGAGAACAATGATGTAGTCATTCTTCAAACTTTCCAGCAACCCAACCTCTGAACGGAGCCTTTTAATAAAAGACGGATTGTCACCGAAATTCCTTAACTGTATCTGGTTCCAGGCAACATCTGTACCTTCCAGCAGATCAAATGCCCTGTAAACCCGCTTGACAGCACCAGAGCCTAGCAGGTCACTGTAACGGCCGAACCTTCCCGATGGATCAATCTCGACAAATGGTTCTGTGTCTTGATCGGATGAATCAAGACTTGCAGATGGCATCTTCCTAGTGTCGTTGTAGAAAATCAAGACTCGACTAAAATCTACCACAAATGATCTGAGTTCAAAGAAATTAGTTGTAGTGACACCACTCTCTCAAATGATCACAATCTGAGCTAAGGACCAAGAGAAGCAGCTAAATTAAAACTACAACCATAAAGTTTTCGAAATATGATCCGAGTAGAATCTTCAATTGGAAAATAAAAATCAACCACAAATTGTTAAGGCTTGTATGTATGTTCAACTGATCAAATGAGGACAAATGATCAAGAAACACAACTCAAAATGACTTAACAATGGCATTGGTCAAACTAAGGCTCCGTTTAAATAATTTTTTTAAATATTTTTTGGTGTTTGGTTGCAGTATAATATTTACTAAAAAAATAAATATTAAAACCTAATAAAAATAACTTACCAATCAATTTTAGGCAAATTATTTTACACGCCTTAGACCTTCGCCAAACAAAAAAAAGTAAAAATAAAAATATATATTTTACCTAAAAAGGAACATCTTTTCCGAGAAAAATATTTTAAGTGGAAACAAACTGAACATAACTGTAGAATATTTTCCATTAAAATGTTAAATTAATTTAAATAGACATTCTATTCCAAATGGTCTGAATAAAATGAATGATTCCCATTTTCAATACAAGAAATTCAAGTTAAGCAATCAAGTTAGAGCTCTGTCATTGCCGACTTAGAACTATGTTTCGTCTATCAAATTCACAATCTACACGAAACCTTCAGAATAGATTGAAACAGACTTAAGCAATCGAAACAACATGTTAAAATCAATTAAATAATCAAATCAAACAGGAAAAAAGCAATATAAGGCGGCTCAAATTGAAGCTCCATTACAGTGACTTTGGTAAATTTATTATCTGTGCCAATTTGATTGAATAATGATAAATAAAAACTAAAAACTGTCGACCACAAACACGCTCATGCACAACTCTGTGATAAAACAAGTTGCAATGGTTGAATCAGACAATAAAAAATCAACAAAATTGGATCAAACTGAAGCTCAGAGCATGCCAAGCTTTGGAGTATCAAAACTCATATAGTCAGCTTAAAATAAAAAATAAAAAATATCAGTGTGAAACGATCAGAACACAAACATATACAATTTCGAGGCTGATAAAGACAAAACCAAACACAGAAAGATCCACAATGAACAGCTGAAATTAACCTAAAACTGTAGACTTTTTCTTAACCAACACTCGTATCCTTCAATCTCGTTGAGAAATTCAAATCAACAAGCAAATTTAAAAAAAAAAAGAAGTTAGAATTAAAAGAGACGGATTGTAGTTGAGCTTTGATCAAGCAAAACTTGAAATCAAAGTTTAAAACTGTGAAAGTTGAAGCCGATTCAGAAGAGAAAAGAGTGAAATGATTGTACCTTGAGAGAGACTTTTCAAAGCGTATTCAACGTGGAGAAGCAGAAGATAATTTGCTTTTGTGGAGAAACTGTGCAGGGCTTATTTGAAGGAGGTATATATAGGGCGCGTGATGGGATGTAATTTGAAATTTCCACATTTATTTATTGGGTTTAGTTCGTTAATTTTAGGCGTGCCCACTATTTGGTTTGCCCAATTTGAGCGAGAACGGTCCCACCGGTTTCAAATATATTTAAATTGAAGAATTTTAACTGTTACAATTAGTGGAACCAAATGTGATCTTATTCATTGATATTTCTAATTTGATAGGGTTTTTTTTATTTATTATTTTTTTTTATTAATTATTTTTCTTGGGGTAAGTAAATGTAATTAGAGGCTTCCACGATTGGGAATTTAAAAAGCTATTTTTAATAGTCGTATAGATATGCAAGACAATAAAATAACCTTCCTTTGACCATAGAACAATGAATTGCTGGTATATATGTTTGGTTTAATTTTTTATAAACAGTTCCAAAAAAAAAGGAAATTAAAAATCTGCTTTTAAATAATTATAAAAGATCATTATTTGACAACATAATTTTCTTTTAACCGCATTTTTAGAAAAATATTTACCAAACAATTCTTTAAGGGTTCGTTTGGTTAGTTGGAAATTGATGGTGAAAAATGAAAGGCACAAAAAGTGAAGTGAAAGAAAAGAAAATTATATTTCTATCATGTATTTGGTTTGCATGGTTTTTTTGTAAAAATTTTGTGGGAAAATGTTGTTTCGTTAGTTTGGTTAGTAAGAAAGTGAAAAAAAAATGATTTATTTATTTTTGATAAGTAAAAAGAAAATGATTTATATGTCAAAACTACTCGTATGAATTCAATACTAAGTAATATCCATCATGCAACAATTATAATAAAACATATAAATAATTGTTTTATGAATAAAAATATATTTGCGTGCATATATATAGAATCATAATTTAAAGGTCAAAAAATTATAACTTAATTAGAATCCTAATTTAAAGAGTTAGAAAGTTGTAATATAATTAGGAGCCCTAACTTATTAAAAAAAAAATTGCTCATTTTGTAAGTCTGAAAAAAAAGGAAGAGAAATAACCGGTGATATAATGATACAATTTTCACGGGCAGAAATATTACTAAAAACTTTTCATTTCACGCTAACCACGTTAGGATTGTTTTTAATTACAGTAAATTCTGAAATTAAATAACAGGTTGAGCATTGGCATTGAAGGGCCATGTGAGGCCTGTGAAAACAAATAGCAGCCCACTGGTTTTTCTATATGGTTGCAGATTGTCAACGTCAAAACAAGCTGTCAAAGTAAGATGAACTCAACATGATTATGATATCCGTGATATTATTGTTGAATGTGAAAAGAAAGAATATAAAGTGAGTTTCGGAACATCGAATCTAATCATATACTATAAAATGTGCCTCCCCTTCAACAACTGTGAGTTCACGTAACACCCGTGCCTGATTTGGTACTACTGCTGAATCTAAAAATAGATCCTCTAAGCAGAACCCATTCCAATCACACACACACATCATATACAGTATACACACACACACACACATCATATACACACACAGACTCTTCATTCATGTGACGGTGTTTCAAACTCTTCTCATACAGAAAATTTGTCTAATATATATAATAAACTCTACATTCATGTGCAGTTGTATATCAAAGGCCACTATGTAACGGTGTTTCAAACTCTTCTCGCACAGTACACACACACACACAGTTAAAAATAACGCATCTTGCAAAACCCATTCCAATCATATACACCTATGAAAATTGAAGGAGACTCAAGAAGAACATGATGGAGGCAAGCCATGTGAATACACGTGAATTCACTTTAGTTAGAGTGAACTTGTATTAATAGTCCCAGATAATTAAGGAAGACGGCAATGAGGTTGTAAAGTTTCTGCCCGGAGTGAGCAAAAAGGCCTCTCCCAATATCCTGTCAGAAACTTTCAACAAAGAGGGAAAGGGAAAACCAATAAATGACCTACAACAATAACTTTAAGAAACTAGAAAAGCAGAACTTTCTATTGACATTCATAAACAGTGAGGATTTTTAAGATGCAAAGGGCAACTACTGACAAAAATCACAAGGAAAATAGACTTTCAAGAGTCTTGACAATAGATGGCCATGGATCCTTTTCATTCTCCTAAAAAGAAACCCTCCCCTTGGAGAACACACTCACGAAGGGGGAAAAAAAAAATCCTAAAAAAAAAAAACCCTCACATTGGAGGGGGCCACACCCACGACGAAAAAAAAAAAAAAAAAAAAACACCTACCAGGTACTGATCCAACCTAAATTATCAGTGATTATCCTAAAGCATCAAATAAAGTAATACAGAGTCTGCATGATACTACCTATTTAAGTAGATCAAAACTGGCCTCAATTAGCATATAACATTGAATTGTTTTCCAATGGACCACAACTGCAGAGCATGACCACCACATTTTCTGCAACCACCATTAATTGAAGGTAATCAGGAAAGTTCCTGATCTGTTAAATGATACCATCCAAGAACATTTCCCCCATTTTCCCCAGCATTACTTTTTCTTTTTCTTTTTCTTTTTTGGTTAGGTTTTCCCAGCATTACTTGACATCTAGCAACTAAAACAATAATATGGTTTTACCAAGTGAAGGGTGGCGTCTTAAAAAAAAAGTAAGCAAATTATGCAGGGACATTAATGCGACAAATCCACATCAGTTAAAGGCTGAATGTACTCAAAAACCAATGTATTAACTATTAAACATGAGATACAAACACAAGACTTGGACACAGGCTCAAAGCATTCTATGGAAAAATGGCAAGTACCCAGCATGTACACAACAACAAAGACATTATCCTTTGTATTCAAAATTATATTATATACAACAAAATTAATTTATGATAAGTGAATTTAACAGTCAATGACTGCATTAAATTGTAATTTATGAATCAGAATGATCAATGACACCTTTTGTCACATGAACAATAAGATAGCAAACATATACGTGTATGCGGATGTGTATTGTACAAAAGTAAGTATGATGACTCATCTCACACTCCTATGCTCCTCCTTTAGTAAAAAATTCCTAAATCTTATTTTATTTTTATATATGGTCAGACGTTTCATAATTTTTATATAAGCATTCAAATTATTTCTTCTTATACTTGATCAAATACTAAAAAGAAGCTGTACCCAACCTTCAAGGTTCATTTATCACAAGTTGATGAGCATCCAAGAAATGTCAGCCATGTATTACAAATTTTATTTTAAAATCAGAACATGTCTAAAGATGTATTCGATTACCGATACATGTCCGACTTGAACACAGCTCCTCATTAAAAGTGTATGTTTTACTTGAACCATAACAAATAATACATTAAGGATGACTGGAGGAGAGAAGGGAGGAGGTGAAGAATCATATACAGGGGGTGGTCTATTACTTGCATTCGATTCTTTGACAGCACAACATTCCAAATAGAACTCTCTTATTTTTTCTATTAGCAAAATAAGAGGAAACAAAAGTTCAACAGCCATAAGCCCATAGTCCATGAATATTAATCCAAGAGATTTTTCCTTGGATCAAATCTACACACTAACAATCCCAGGGAAAACACGTCAACAAATCAAGCATTAAAGTTATCATCTGGTAATGGTCGTCAAAAGTCTCGGGAAAGAATAAAGCATACAGGCCATGTGGTGAAGGGGTTGGATCACAGTTTCGAGGCGAGTTTAAGCGCATTTGATCACAAAGAAATGCTAAATGTCAGTTGAAGTTCCTCGGTATTCAGCCTAGGATGATTGACAGTTTATCATATAACTTTCTTATTTCACCAAAAAAAAAAAAATAATAACAAAAAAGAAGAAAGAACACTCATGAGACTGGAAAACGGGAACTCTGAAGTCACCAGAGAATCTAAAAGGAAAAACATTGGAAAATAACATGATTCTTCTATAGTATTGCTTCGGAAAGAGTGGTGGTTGATATTATAAAAAAATGGGTGTCAAGTAGTAGCTAAAAGAAAGAGCAGAGGTACATTCTCGCGCCTTTTTTTTTTTTTTTGGTAAACAATCTCAGCATTTGTTACCAAAGCCTAGAGTTCAACCTCAGTGAATGGTCTAATCTTATTTGACAAACGCTGATTGTCAAAGGAAAACAGAAACGAAAGTCCTTTGACATCTCCAAGACACAGATCAAACACAGGCTCTAAAAATTACAGAGATAAAAACATGCTTCCTCAGACATTTGTGTCATGTAACATTAATACCCCCAAAAAAAGTAGCATAAAAAACAAGTTCCCTATCAAAAAATAATATAAATTTTTTTGAACTTTTATGCTTTCTAGAACAAAGACTTCAGAATTTAAAATAATAAATTAATGATTTCAAATGAGACCATGAAAATAAGAACGCATAACCCATATAGATCTGCAAGATGAATATTAAGAAAGGCAGAACTTCCTCGGATGCAAAATCTAAATGGCGAACTTCTATTTCAAATTCTAAGTATCAACAAATTGAAAAACACTACATGCAAAGCAAGAGTTAATTATAGTTTATGCCCAATCAGTGTTATTAAAGGCTCAAGGGGCACCAAGGCGCTAGAAGTCCTTTGGAGTCTAGGCGCGCGTCTGAGTAAAGTGAGGCGCACAATTGAAAATTTGAACTACCATAAAACATTCATATCTCATAACTCATAAGTCATATCAATATTCTAAAATTAATATCAAATATAAAAAAGTAAATCCATCAACTATACTGGTATCCAACAACCATAAAACAAAGCACAAATTTGTTTTTTTGAAAGGCAAAACATAATTTGTTTTTTTGAGTGGCAAAGCATAGCACAAAAAGAAATAAATTTGTTTACAAAAAATAAAATAAAAATATTTTAACAAGAAAAGAAAAGGAAAGAAAAAAACAGAGCGAAATAAAAAAAATACAGCCCAAAATAAGAGAGAGATGTAGACGAGAAGAGAGAGAGAGCGTTCAAGAAAAGAAGAAAAAAAATAGCCCAAAATAAAATTACAGAGAGAGGAGAACTAGACGAAGAGAGAGATGTAAACAAAGATGAGAAGAGAGGAGTAGAGGAAAAGAGAGAAACGAAGAAAGAACTGACATGGCTAGGTCGTTTGTCTTTGTAACTAGGGCTTTGTCGTTCTTCTCACAGTCTCACTTATTTTCTATTCGGTTGCCACTTTGACTTGGGCTTTCTAATTTGTTTATTCTTTTGAACAGAAGTTCCATCTCTCGTACTATTGGGCTTTCTTATTTGTTTATTAAGTTGCCAAAAGTACCCTTCTTGGCTTGAGAAATAAAATAATCATTTTTTTTAGCAAAAAAAATCGGTGAGGCGAGCACAGGACGAGGTGCAACCGAGGTGCGCGCCTAGTAAACATGAGTGAGCGAGCTAGGGATAAGAACAGGTGCTACACCTGCGCCTTTAACAACACTGCGCCCAATGTGAAACCATATATAAGAAGGGAATGAGAAAAATGAAAATAAAAACCAGTTTTCCATCAGCTGAATAGCCAATTACAGGACATTATTGCAAAACTTAATCCTAGTTTATTTGAGTTCAGCCCATTGCAGATGCACCCTAAATCAAGAACAAAAGCTTCCATTTACATCTCAAGCAGAAGTTTTTGTTAAGCTGAGAATTGCGAGGTTCAGAAGAAAAAAAAAAGGATAATTTTAGAATTTGATTAATTTCCAAAGGATGTTAGGATGTTTTTTCACAAATAATTTATTAGACATCAAGTACGGATGCCTAAAGGTAGACAGACTAACCAGTGTGCGTGCGCTTTGTTGTGCCCATGCAACGGATACTTTTATCATTTGTTAACTTGCAAAACATTGTATCAACAAAATCAAAAAGATCTTTTAAGGTTAGTATCGTCATTTTCATCCTCAAAATTTTCATTATAGGAGCCCCACCAACCCTTGTCCTCTATTGCCCTTTTATGTCAGAACAATCTAAGTGAAGGAGAGAAAACAATACAGCATTTAAAATAGTGATCCGTAACCAACTTGGGGCAAGTCTAACAACTGAATTGGAAAGAGCAAGTTCAAGAAAGCATAAGGAGAGTCGAGATCTTTAGCGATTAGGTTAGATTGAACAATATCAGAAATTTTATCTTACTCATGAACAGCCCAATAGATCAATTTGAGACCTCATTTTTTAAAAATAGATTAATAATAAATACCATTCCAGAATTGCTTCTAGAATTCCTAGAAGAAAATTAAGGCCCAAAATGAAGAACTCTAATTCATTTTGATGATAAAATCTTAATGTGGTACACAATACCAACAATGGTGCAAATTGATGAAGGGCATTAGAGAAAATTTATTAAAAAAAAAAAGAAAAAAGTGACAGTTTCAACAACAGGTATGCTGTAATTAATACTGACAGAGTTCTTCAGTCACACCCAGTGGGGTCAAATTAATTACAACATATAGGAATGTCAATAGTCGGATTTCGGTTGTTTCCCACCATGATATTCTAATAAATGGTACTAACAGAATATTAAAACAATTGTACCACATAGGCATTGAACCAACTAACAATATGGAAGGGAGCAACAAAAATGCATGTAGGATAAAAAATGTTCAGCAGAAGGATCCAGAACCATGTGGACAAGAAATGATTTACAAAAACTACGCATACTAGGATCCCATAAGACCACGAATTGTTAAAGCATATAAGATGTGATTGTCCCTAATCTAGGAATGACAATTTTCAACAGTATTAAATGAAGCAGTTCTCTATTCTCTTTATCAAAAAACTCCATTTCAAAAAATGCAAAAAATGGAAGGCAAACCTCTGATGGACAAAAATAACTCACTCAACTATATAGAAAATGTAAGCATTCTACCACTTTAAAAAAATTCTTTCTTTCTTTCTTTTTTTTTTTTTTTAACAGAGGAAACCACAAAAGGCAAATATTAACATTAAATGACGTCAACAATACTGAACAGAAAATTTGCAAGCTTTTGTATTATTTGTAATTCTTACAAGCGCCAACTTTCTTGTTCCCAAAAGACAAGAGTATTGTACTGTCAAAACAACAATGCTATCATACAACGAAAATGGGGGAAAAGACATACATATTACCAAGGAGGATTAGAGTCTGCTCTTACAGAGGGTGACCTGGAAGCTGGACTCCCATCTCTTCCAAGCCTCGACATACTCCTCCCAGTTTTTGGAGTGCTTATCCCAGGGCTGGAACCCCGATAACTGGCACGAAGAGATTCATCAACAGAGTTCGAGGACTTGGAAATTGCATTCCTCATAAACTTCAGAGCAGCAGGAGAGAGTGTCCGCGCACTCGGGCTAGCACTTCCTCCTCTAACTGGTGAGGGCAATGGTGGCTTCTGATGTATCTTAGACCTCTCCCTCAGTTTGCGTGCGGCGTCCCTAGACAATGAATGAGCTTTCAGATCTCTGGAAGGTGGGAATGGAATCTTAAAATGGGGGCCTTCACCACTACCACCAATACCAATTGGGGTATCCTCCTGCTCTAATCTCAGTGGCGTGCCTTCAATTTCTCCCCACGTTATAAATGGTGATTCGTCCACACCGGGTGCAGGGGACGGAGTTTTAACATAACTATATCCATTATCTGCTTTCTTTGATGATTCCACATAAAATGGGTTTGGGGTTCTCCTCAAATCATCCAAATCATACTTTTTCATTTTATCCCCTTCCCTTGCTGACAATGACATCTGAACTGGAGTCCCTCCTGCAACAGGGGTGTAAAGCACTGCAACTGTATCTTCATCTTTCGGCCCAGAATCCAATAATTTACCATGAAATCGGGTATTCGGCCTATTAATTTCCTTTGTTAAGCACTTGAGCCTCTCTGCCCTCTCCTCCTCGGTTAACGGCGCTTCACCCCGATCAGATGGATGATACATCAACAGATTCTTCGCCGTATAGTTCCACCCTTCCAAAGTACTCGGTGGCTGATCCGATGTCCCATACCCATCGGTAATCCGATCCCTCTTCACATCCTCAATCAACCCAACATCCTCCTTTTCCCCTTCTGTCAAATACCCATATCTCTCCTTCCTCTTCCTATTCACCTTCTCGATAATTTTCGAAAAACTATTATTGTCCTCACTAGTATACCTCCTAAAGAACTCATCCAGCGACAACGCCACATCTACTGAACCATCACTAGACTCCTCAACAAGCCCAAAATCATGACTTGCAACAGTAGGAGTTTTATCAAATTCGAAAGGAGTACTTGTTCTAAAGAAAGTTGATCCAGGGGTTCGTGTTTTACCTTCAGTATCAGAATTGGATACTTTTCCGCTTCGTCGCTCAATGATCTTCAATTGGGCATCGCGAATTTGCATGGGATCGCCACTCCGGACGGCTTCGAGCCAATCGAGACGGTCCCTGAGCTTGGGGATGTCGGGGAAGAAGTCACGTTCGATGATCTTCTCGATTGAGGCGACGTAGGAGTCCTCATCGAGGACGGCATGGTTTTTGCTAGGGTTTTTTGCGGATTGGGTTGAAGAAGTGGATGGGGTTTGTAAGGATTTTTCGGAGAGAGAAGGTGATGGTGAAGAGAGGTGTCGAGGTGAGTGGCCTGGAGAAAAAAGCATGGTGAGAGATAGATAAGAGATATGAAAGGGGTCGTGAAACTAGGGTTTCTGAAAGAGAGAGATGGGGATTTTGAAAGGGGTTGTGAAACTAGGGTTTCTGAAACTGCAATGTGCGTACGAAAGGGGGATATGAATATCGGAGGAGATGAACGCGTTTTAGTTTTAGAAAAGGTGATTCCTTACCGTGTGGGTTCCACAGACTGATTAGGGACTTTCAATCGTCGATTATAATTCATCTCATCCAACGGTTAACAACTAGACCTGTCAATGGAACGGATTTTAATCAGGATTCGATCCCATTAATCCGTTATGAATTGAATAAAAAATTTCATAACTTGATTACGATTCAAATCTTTTAATCGAGATCCGATCCGATTAGTCCGTTATGAATTGAATAAAAAATTTCATAACTTGATTACGATTCAAATCCAATAATCCGTTAGCTTAACAATTCGAATGTGAATTATGCTGATCCGATTTGATTAAAATTATATATAAAAATAATTATATATATAGTTATTTATCAATAATATATAATTATTTATTAATAATTTTACACACACACACATATAAATATATATATATTAATACTTCTATTAGAATTGTATTAGAAGGTAACCCAAAAATTTAAATAAAAAATAAAAATAAAAAAATCATAATGTTATATATATAATAGCGTGGTGTTCTTATTCACGTGCTAATAAATCTCTTAATATACATACTAATGACATCATACTCTTTATAATTGTATATGTTAGTAAATATGATTTTAATCCGATTCAATTCGAGTCCAAACTAAATAGGTTATGGATTGGGATATTCAGTCCAAAAATTTCGTTAGTGATCCGAATCCGATAATCCGTTTTCTTAACAAATCGAATATGAATTTGATCGATCCAATCCGAATCTGATCCCCTATTAACAACTAAGCCTTTTTCAATTAGTTTGGCACATTAACAACCGTTAAATTGATTAACTAAATTTCTTTTATTTATTTATTCTATTTACTTTATTTCGGGTCGGTTTGATGGAAACAGTTTGAAAGAATAAATAGGTTTGGATGCTAATTTAAGTTTGTGTGTGTTTTAAAATAAGTGAACAAAAAAAGGAATTTGGAAAAGAGTTGTGCACTAACTAGAAGAGTTTGTAATTTAGTACTCCATCCGTCCCATAAAAAGTGTCACTTTTAGTAAACCGTAACTTTCACAAATTGAACTGACACAATTCTCTAAACATAACACTATTTTTGGGACGGAGGTAATAATTATTTATTATTATTTTTTTTTTTTATACCAAATGCCTTCTTGTATCACACGTTATTTTACGGTCTTCTCATGGTACAATCAAATTTAAAAGATAGACAATCAAACTATTCTTATGCGACTAATTCTTTAATTGACGACTCGGATGCAATGGAATCACAGTCTGAGGCCATTGTGTGTAGTCAATTGTGGCCTAAACCAGCACTACCTCTTTTTATGCTATATCCTTGACACTTCTAACGACAAAAAATAAATAAATTACACATTAATATAGAATAATTCGTAAAATCTTCGGGCTGGACTCTGGGTCGATTCTTGAGGCAAAAGATTTAGTTGGATAAGTTTAACATTCTATAGATCGGTTCTACAAAAGTGATTTTGGAAAACACTAAACACTACTTAAAATAAGATAAAATTTTAAGCAATTACTGATGAATATTAAGGGTCCGTTTTGGGAAGTGTAGTGTGATGTAGTGTACTGCTCTAGCCTAGAACAGAATAAGTGTGTGTTTTGTAGTGTGATATTCTGAAATGAGAACAAAACATGTTTGGTGTTCCAAATTTGATCAGAGAATTTTGGAACAAAAACATGATAGAACATATTTGGTAATGTATATTGTTCTAAAAAATATGAGAACAAAACATATTTGGAAGATTGAAAGTATAACCAAAATCAATAGAAAAATAAAAAAATTAAATATGTTGGATTAAGAATGTTTTAAAATAATGTTTTCTTGAATACATTTTTTCTAACTTTATTCGGTATAAAGTTAAAATTAATTATTGTATAATTTTAATATACAATTGATATAACTTTATATATATATATATATATATATATTGTTCAAAATTTATCTTAGTTTATTATAAAAACTAATAAAATAAATTATAAATTGTAAAACTTATTAATTATAATCTGTAGTAAAAATCTTTTTAAAATATGTAAAAATAAAATAAATCATGTAGTTAATTATCTTACTCATCCTATTCTTCTTGAAGATTTCCAAAAAAATAACGATAAACCAATATGTAAAACTAAAAGGTTTTTCTTGATTTTCTCATTGTTATCCATATTCTCTACCAATTTACCAAACAGAAGTTAAAAACTATTTCCTTTCTTCACTACTTTTTTTTATTTTTTATTTTTTATTTTTAATTCCCTCTATATTTCTACAAACAAACATAATAATAAAATGAATACATAAACAAATTTATATACCACTGTTAAAATATTTCAACTAATTTGGCTAGCTTTTAATTCATTCTGGTAATGGGTATTGAAAATCAACTTTGTTCCAACTTTAAGATATATATATAATATACATAGATACAGATACATATTCGAAAGGTGTTTCAGAAAAATATCCAAAAAATAAATAAATTTCCAGATCACTACAATACAACAGTTACAGACTCACTGCAATACAACAGTTACGACTCACTACAATACATATATATGTAGATCACTACAAGAATCAAAACTCAATATCCAGAGGGTTCGCCTGTGAATCTGAGAGTGTAGAGAGCAGCGGCGAAACTTGGGTTCGCTGGAAAACGCAGAGGTCACAAAGGGGAAGTTTATCTTCAGATTTGCATACATAGTGGAACACCGAGAAGCCCGATCTTCATTATACAAAACAGAAATTTAGACAAAACACAATGACTCCATTTATGAAAAAGAAGCAGAGTGTAATACCCCTAATTTAAAAATGATAGTCTCGGTATTATTTTAATAGTTTTAATTGCATTTAATTATTTAGTTGTTTTCTTGGCTAATTGTTTACTTGTTTAATTGATTTAATTATTTGTTTAAATTGAATTGAATGTGATTTAATTGTTTTATTTTTATTTTTATTTTATTTATTTTATTTTTATATTTTTAAGGAATTGGATATGGATAGTAGTAATTGACCAATCAATTGGGCTCCATGGACTACTTGGATGAGGGGTTTAATGGGTACGGATGATTACCCATGTATATGTATATTTAATAAATAAATAAATATATATATATATGTAAGGAAAGTCCCTTTAATAATAATTGATATATATTTATATATTATATATAAAAAAGGGTACACATAGATTATACGTAACATATATTTAGTTAACTTTTTAGTATTTAAATTTTATTTTATTTTACTTTTATTTCATTTTAGTTTGTCTTGAAATGAGAAAAGGATTAGAGTTTTTTTGTTGCCTATAAATATATAACTATAGAGTTGTGAAAGAGGTTAGAAAATATATCACGTACTATATTTTAGAGAGAGAAAGAAGGAAGAGGAAGGAAGAAAAAAAGGAAGAAGGAGGCTAGGGTTTTTTTTTATCAAATCCCTAAAGGCAAGTTTTAATTCTTCTCTTCTCCTTTGATTCATATCTTATGCATGCTAGATTAATTCTAAGTTCTTTAAATAAATTAATTGAATCTAATTATATGAATTTATGTGGAAATTTCAGTTCATCTGTTTTAATAATGGGTTTGTATTAAATTTCATATTTTAATAAATTAAATTTGCATTATGTGTTCTAATCATGAGTTGTAATATATTATGGGTTGTTAGCCTGAAACAGTTTTATATTTTTTTGTGAAATCATAATTGTATTTTTCTTCGTGTGCGTGGAACGAGGAATGACTTATAGGATTAACATGAACCAAATTAGCATAAACCCATTTATGTCCATGTACAAAATCTGGGAGTGTTTTATTCAATGCTTGGATTTAAACATGAATCCATTATTGTAAGGGAAATCAGAAGATTGTATGTATATGTATAGGTGTGTGATGAATTCAAAACTAACTATTCAGTGTAAAAGGTGCACGCCGAACGAGGCTTTAAGAATGCCTTATATAGTTAAATTTGTAATTTAAATTTAGTTTCTTCCTAAGGCATACACAGTTGGTAGGAATAATCTTGTGTACATAAAAAAAAAAAAAAACAATAGTAATAATAATTAGTTATGCATTAAATATTTTTTAAATATTATTTTGATTAATGCTAGGATATTAAATTGATAATTGTTATTTTTGATTGATGAAACTAAATTTAAATATTTATTTAATTTAAATAGATTCATTAAGAGTGGAATGCATGATTTAAGTTTACATGCTAAGTATGGAATTTAATTAATTTTTTTTTTAAAAAAAGATATATTAATTAAATATTGTTGGATTACATTATTTTAATCAATTGTTTAGATTTAAATTAATTTAATCAGAACATGGAGATGTACAATTTAATTGAGATGTATGTTAATTTCTTGTGATGTAAATTAAATGCATGCTACTTAGAATTGATATTTTTGCTCAAGTAAATGCAAATGATGTGTATATGATTTATATCATATTTATTTAGATTGTTAGATGTAAATAATATTTATATTGTCCCTGGATTGGAAACTTTTATTTGATTATGGTATAGATTAATGCACCATTATGGGATGGGGGCATATTAGGGACGGATTAATTTACGAGTTAAGTCCTACCTATTTTTAATAAGGGAACGGATTAACCACAGTGTTAAGTCCTACTTATTCGTGTCAGGTTAACGGAATAGTTGGATGACATTTTATTAAAATAATAATTGGATAGTTTATTTTTGATGGTTGGATAGGACGGATTTTAAATATATAATTATACACCATGATATGAGCTTGAGTCTCAGGATCAGTGGTTAGGGTGCGTATATCGCCAGGGATGTGTAGCTAGATATAGCGTAGTTGTGTACCCTGGTAGGTCTAGGTATTCATGCCCACTATATGTGCGTTTTGCATGTTGCCTACTATTCAGGTTGAGACAACTCTATAGTCTAGTGAGGTTCCTTTAGTGTGTATATATCTATATACGAACTATTTAGTTATTGTTGAATTAATTAGGATGTG